AGCGGTAAATACGAGTAACGTTTACGCAAAGCTTCGCGTACAATTAAACGTGTCTTTTCGGTGAACAACCACGGTTCACGACGTTTTGTATCGATGTGTGAGTGAGCACGGAAGAATGGCAAAAATGCACCGGTTTGATACCAACGTTCAAATAACTCAGCATCAGGATTGCCAAAGAAACCGCCGACATCAGCACCGCAAAAAGAGAAACCGCCAACAGCTTCAGATAGACACATTTTAATGGAATGCTGCAAGTGACCCCATTCGGCCATATTATCACCAGTCCAAATTGCGCCATAACGTTGTGTGCCAGCAAAATGTGAGCGTGTCAATATGAATGGACGTTGATTTGGATCGCGACCGATTAAGCCTTCGAATGTGGCCAGCACATACATGTGTCCATAAAGATTATGTACATCACGATGTTCCCAATTGCCATAATGTACCATATCCTTTGGCATAGTCACCTCAGGACCATTAAAAACCGATGGCTCGTTCATGTCATTCCAAATCATGACATCGGTTGTAATAGTCTTAAAATTCGTTGGCAAATATTGTATAGCATAATAGGCGCGCACCTCAGGATTGAAGACATCTGCATAGCTAGCAGCACCGGGCCAACACCAACCTGTATGGGATGCATATTACATAATTTGTATGAGATAATAACTGACATTAAACAAACCTTCGTAATCATTGCCCTCTGGCGTCTTTACATAAAAACCGCGTTCCGTACAATCGTTGTGGAAGTAATAGTGTGTATCGCGCTTAATATGCGGATCAATAATGACCACCAAATGACGGCCAAGGGCGGTCAAATTTTGAACCATGGCAAGTGGATTGGGGAATTTAAACTGATCCCATGTGAAGTAGCGCTTACCGTCTGTATACTCAATATCCAACCACATTGTATCCATTGGCATATCATATTCATCAAATTTGGCGGACACCTCAGTAACGTCGGCTTCATTATTGTAATTCCAACGTGACTGGTGATAGGCCAGTGTCCACATTTGTGGTAATGGTGCGGAACCAGTTAGAGCCGTATATTGCTTGAAAGCATCGAGTGGCGACGGGCCCAACAAAATGAATGCATCAATAATACCCGATTCAGACATGAAGTGCGCCGCTGGTGGATCAGACTTGCGAGAGCCTACAAGAGAATACATCACAAATAACAGTTGACACATGTATGCAATTTCACTTACCAGAAACAAAGTTGACGATCGATGATACAACGTTCTTTTCAGCCGTGTATATATCAACCCAGGTTTCGGCTCCATTCTGCCAATAGACACCAGCAGTGCGTTGAGTACTAATTAAACAATTTTATTCATTTAACATTGTAACACACACTTTTTGTTTTGTTAAGCAAAAGAAAACTTACCCATGACCATAAAGCACCGGCACCGAACCGTACAATGCCATCTTACTATCGAGTATATACTCAAATACATCGGTATTGTATAAGCGATAGGGATCTGTACCAGAGGTAGATTTTAAAACAAATGAGTCGGCATGTTCGGGTAAACCGAATAGCACCTCGGCTTCTGGGAAGGTAAAATCGAGTGCTATTGCTTCCGGTCCGTAGGGTTTTGAATCGTGATGTGATTTGAAGTTCTCCTCCCATGCACCAGCATCTGTGATTTCATCAGCTTCCTTCACCTCATTAGCGGCAGCATCGTTAGCACCCTCAGCTGGCGCCTGTGGTTTCGGGCGCAAATGCTCGAAAGTCATAAGACCTTTAGCATTAACCGAGACGGTGAGAACGTCATTTTGATAGAAATCAACACGGAATGGATCGGCAATGACCACAGCTTTATTGGGACCCGATGTAATAGTGAATTCAGCTTCACCCTCTTGTACCTTAATGCTACACGACAAATAATGAAGGAAATTTAACTTAAGCATATTTGTATTTACACAAAAACATACCTGCCAGGTTTCGGTGCCGACTTGAGTGCATCTGTAACACGATAGCGTGGCTTCAAAGGATTTTTCTCATCCACTAACAAACGGAATGTATTGCCCAGCTGTTAAAAGACAAATTGTTTATGAAAAACAAGAAAAAAACATTAACTTCGGTAGCACCGAAGCTAGAATACCCTTCACATATAAAAAATTTTCCATACAAGAACTTAATTTGGATCGGTCAGTTAGCTGCGATAGTACATACATGTTATAGTGGTTCGGTCTGAACAATTTCTGCAAAGGTTTTACCGTTGCCTTGAAGAATAATCCATGCCAAATTTGGAGAATATAGTTTCACAAATAAAAAAAAGGTTTCCATACAAGAACACGATTTTGATCGGTCCAGAAAGGACGTATACACAATTTCAGATTAATATCACAAAAACTGAGAGCCTAGTTCGTGTATATACAAACAGACAGACGGACATAGTTATAAAGAATCAGCTGGTTCCGCTGATCATTTATATATATATTTTTATAGGGTCTCCGATTTTTATGGGTGTTATAAACTTCTCGGCATACTTAAGATACCATGTTCAAGGTTTAATAAAAAAAATTAAAATAAACAGTTAGCTTCTACCTCCAAGGCTTCTATTTTCAGTGTAAAGATGTGTTTGTTATCCTTATGTTGCAGTTCTGCAGTTATAGAATCGGAGTATGTGTTGAGCGTACCAGGCACCAAAGCGAATTTGGGATTATCTGGTTTTACATTGCGGCAACGCCTATAAATAGAGAATATTAAAGATTTTTTGACCTTGAAAAAATTGCACAAATATTTTAATTACCTGCAAAAGCTGCTCTGTTCGCATGTTTTGAAATTAGTGTGGTCAACGCTGACCGCATATTCGAATATGCACAATATTAGCAGAAATATTGCCAAACGCATGTTGACGTAGCTACTGAAACGGTGCATCGTAATTACATAAATCGTTCATTTTTTTATAATATATAATGCGCTTATGAATTTCTATATTTAGCAGGAAAAAATATTTGTCTCGTTGTATTAATCTATAAATATATATTTTGGCAAATTTTCCAATTTTGTAAAGAAATATTTTAAACGAATTTTTCCTTTCGTGTAATCTTGCAAGAGCAAGAGAATGCCCCTATACTGTAAGGTTGAAAATATTTGTACGTTATTTAAACTTGATAAACCAGAAAAATGAAGTTTATTTGGTAAAGCATATTTTAATATCATTTTTTTTTTTTTATAATTAAAATTAATGATGTTATCTTTATTTAAAAATCAATTGTAACTGTTCATTCAATATACCTTTCAATTTTATTTTTCATACTTAAAGTGAAGTATGTTCTATTTATTTAGTTATCAACAGTAACTGTTCAATCATCATACTTTATATAGTATATAACTATTTACATATCTATGTATGCACATACCAATAAGAAGCACTTAAAGACACGTCAGACAAAGCGTAGTTTTCACTGAGATAATTTCTTCTTGAGAATATTATTTGGAAAATCTTTGTATAAAATATGGATATCTTGTAAAATTTATCTACAATCGCAGTACCTTACTCAAAATTCGTGTCGTTTTGGAACTATATGAAATATTTGTTCATACAAAAGGAAACAAATCAATAGCACTCGTAATGGTTTACACCAATGAAATAATTTATTTACTTACCGAAACAACACTTATTCTGCTACGCTTTGTCAACTACACAATCACAACTTAATTTTTAAACAATCTTCACTTATTCCGTAAATTATTAATTTTTCACAATTGCCGGCAACGGGATTCCAAAAATTTGCTGTTTGTTCGCTGACAGCAGACTTGCACACACACATTCGTTCCCGCAATAAAAGAAGTGTTGCATGTGGATTTTAAGGGAATTATTTGACAAACGCCACACATTCTTACAAAATATATTTAACCTTCTAAATATATTCGATTTCTACTCTAATTATACTTTATTATATTCTAGCAAATCTTACTAAAGAACAAGCCTTTAATTTACCTCATATTTAAGTCGGAAAATGTTGATGAAATAAATATTCTAAAAAAAATAATATAGTATGGCAACATTAAAAGATACATATTGCATATATTTAGGCGCGTATAATTTATTTGCTAATATTTTCTAGTGCACTTCTGCTACAGTAACAAAAAAAATTCTATTTTGCTAGTTCTGATCCTTCGCCTTAATATTTTTTTTTAAGAAAATATAGTTTTTGCTATAAAGAAAACTCAAATCATATGCTTCAAAGTTATTGTACCAAGTTTGTAATTCGGCAATTCGTGAAATAATTTTCTTTGTAGCATGAAATATGGTAAACATAAATTTTCTTACAACAAAAATCAATTAATAGAAAAACAGTCTGCACTGGTAAAACAAACTTTCTCTCAATTTTCTGGCCACTAGTGTACATATTTAGGTTCATATCTTCTACAAAATTATTGAAATTAATGTTTTGTATGTATGTATGTTGCATAAGTTTGAATTGATCTAAAACACAATTGCAAAAACAAAAAAATAATAGAATGCGATTTTCATTAATTTAAGGAAATATGGTACATACACTTACCGAATCGGCTGAGTTTGATAGTAATCTAATGAAGCTAACAATGTTGGATTTTGACAACTATGCACTTATAAACACAATAATTCACTTACAATTCTCACTTCTTGCTAAGCATAAATTTAAAGTATTTCAAATTTTTCGCAATTCAACTACTAACGGAACTTCGGCTTCCGCTTTTTGCGCTATTCGATATGTCAGTATGGCAGTGTTGCCTTACTTTGTAAATTGATATGGAATTATTATCATGGTAAGAGAGGTATCGTTCACCATAATTATAACTGTTATTCTTATACGAGTAATCAATTTAAGATTAACATTAGTTTGCGTATTCAAAATTCACGCTCTCTGGCTTTAGCAATATGTAAACAAACAGCTGCGGTTTAGCTCTCTCTTCCCAAAGAGTTAATATCCGTAATCTTTTCTAAATGCCACAAATTGAAATTTCTTATGTATTTTTGTTTTGGTATCAGAATTCAAATATTACATTTCTTTCACAAGTAATTTCTATTAATTTTTATTGACATAAATGGACCAGCACTTGCTTTTATGTACGCTCTTTAATAAATCGAATATTCCACTTATTCACTTGCATTTAAAAACTAACAATTTTTTCAACATTTACAATTTAGTATTTGATCAAATTATTTACGGGGAAAGATCGTCTAAGCCCCATACACTTTTCACGATCTATAAACAAGGCATTCACTTTGCGTCGCAAATCCGCCTCGAGTGTTGAACGGGTTTTTAGTAAATTCTGGTGCTGAGCCTCAGCTTCCTGCAACTTGTGGTGTAGCTGTTTAACGGTATCCTGTATATCTTGTACTTCTTGTACTAGCCGCAACTGAGCCCAGTCCCTAGAAAATAAGAAAGATATTTAATTTTGAGTTAGATGTAGAAATCAGAGGTGGAAGTTAGAGGTTACAAGTTTCATAAGCAGTGCTAATAAAACCTTTAATGAAACTAAATAGAATACTCTTTTAGAATTTTAGAACTTAGATAAAGAACTCAGTCTAAAAAACAGACATACATATTTAGTTAAGTTAAAAGATTTCAAAAGTAGTTTCTGCCAACTCTTTTTGAGGAAGCTCTTACTTGCCTTCTTTTTTTAATCTTTCAGAAACCAGACATTATTGTTTGAGATTACAGATCTCAGTTAAAAATCTCTTAATAAATCATCTGATCAAATATGACCCGGACTGCGCATGCCCATGCTTAATCCAATTTTGCATACAGTTATTATAAGACTCGGCTGGGATGGGCTTTAGTGCATTAAGCGAATTTTGTTTTTTATCGGCTAATTTTGGAGCTCCATTCGACCAGATGGTTGAACAGTTTCGATGTCATATTCATAAATGTCACCATTAATGATGTTTGATAAATGTAGAGTCCTCAGCTACGCTGTCAAGCATCTCTTTTGAGACCTCTACTCGAAGTCGTTCGTCTGCAATATTTTCAATGAATTCATAGAGGTGATTCCATTGGAAACCAATAATTTCTGGCAAACTCGAAGTTAAATTTGTTTCCATGGTAAAAATCGCCAGACGAGCTTTTCTCGCAAACTGATCAAACTTCACATGAACATAAAAAAAGATTGAACCAAACTAGGAATCGGTTCTCTTTGCGCGTGCAGTTTATATGGACCAGTCCGGGTTAATTTTTATCAGTTGGTATCTTATATAAACCCTCTGCGCAGGTGAAAAACTATTATCCACCAAACGGTCACTTAAATATTAAAAAGAAGCTGAATACTGGTATTACTATACTACTCAAGAGAGTTGGTCGACAAATTCCCAACCTGTCTGATTTTCAATGTTTTTACATATGTGCTGAGTATGTGTATACGCTATGATTCTCAATAACCCATTTGATTGATAGTGCTGTTCGTAATTTTTCAAAGTCCCATCTCTTTGTATGTACTTACTTGCATAGCTCCACGCCTTCACGATGTGAACGCGCTTCCAGACGCGTTTGTGCAACCTTCAAGGGGTTCGATTTATCTTGTATTGCCTTTTGTATCAAGAAAATATGTTTTTCCAAATCGAATAATTCCTGTTGCACCTTATGCAAATGTAACTGTATCTTATTCTTGGACTCGTTCATCTCTTGTGCGCGACGATCCAAAGCATTATTCGTGTTACTCCAATGATCCCATACGGATTGAGCGATGGCATTTACAATAGTTTCGGCATCGCTGCGTAGTTGAGAGAGCTTGGCGCGCTCGGCTTGAGACCTTTGACACACATGTAACAGTAAGATAATTAGATGAGAAAATAGTTAAAAGGCACTCCATTATGGAGCATAGTTATAAATCAACCTGCTAACGCGTTGACTGCTCGCCTCAGCCCATGATTCTTGTGTGCTTATGCTCGGATCGTATTTTTCAATGCCACCATAGTAGGTGATACCGCGGCTATAATTATTCAATTGGTGACAAACGGAGTCAATACCCAGAGTTGACTCTTTGTGCGAGACATCTTCCTCCAGCAAGTGCTGAGCTGCGCGGCAGTCATTAGCTTGTCTTGTAATCTAGAAGAACTTTTGCAGTTGGGCTTAACCTGAAGCATTTATCATACTACAACTTACCTTTTCATGAAGTTCCTTGAGTTTATCGCGCGAATTTCGTATATTGTCGATCTCTAGCAACAGCGCCTTCTCAGCCGTGTCATGTACCTTCTCCACACCCGCACGCGCCTCACGATGATACAAGCACTCCTGAGCGATATGCAAAGGCGCCTCTAAGTCCAGCATGGCTTTGCCGCAACGGCGCTTTAAGTCGGAAATCGCTGCAGATTCCGAAACCAATTTATCCAACTCGGTATTCAACTCGTTGCGCCAGAATGTTACGTCCGTTATGCGTTCACCCAAACGCCGTCCGGCATCACGCTGCCCTTGCGAAGTCTTCTCGTCAGTTTCGCGCATTAAACGCACGGCATCGTTACGCAAGCGCTCCGCCTGATTACTATTTGTTGAGAATTGTGCGTCAATTCGACACTTTCGCTTATCTAAATAAATTTCTTTTCGTTTGCAATCACTCACCGATTTATATTGGATTCGGCATACTTGGTAAGATTGCTATTAACCCATTCGTTGCTGGTGTAGCGTGTGAAGAGCGCCGCACGGGCAGCGTGCTGTGGATTGCGTTCGAAACCCGTCACCAAGTTGGGAAAGTTCATGGGCTCTGTAGTCATGCCAGAGGGTGAGAAGCACGGCTTAACTAACTGATTGGTTACTGGTTGCTCAGCTAAGTTCTTGACCTCAATCATTTCGTACGCCAGTGTCGGTCGCCATGGATGCGGATGATTGGTCTTTTCAAGCAAAAATAAACAAAAAATCAAAATAAATAAACTACAGGATACGCCAGTTGAATGCGATCTAACCTGATAAGCTATGCCAACACGCGGTGGTACTGATGGGCCCGAGATAGGCTCCATGCAAGGCGGTGCACCAGCCGTACTCCATGGCTGCAATTGTGAATACATCACAGTTTGTTCAAATTTCGTGCTCATTTTTAATTAATTAGCTAATTTTTTTTTACAATTTTTTTCAACTAACAAAAGTAAAAACTATTTTTTTACAAAGGATAATAAAAAACTGAGGATTTTTCAAACAACAAAATTAAACTATGAAATTCGTCAAAAATTGAAAACTACAAAAATTATTTTCACTTCGAATAAACTGGAGCTACAGTGTATGAGGTGAGCAACGAAAACATATTTGTATTATATAATGCGGAGGTGATAGGTGGTTTCTAACTATTTATATATATATAAGTATGTATGATATGAATATGATACAAATGGTATGCGATACATATGACTCTGCCAGATTCCTGTGGTCCTTGCGCTCAATGTACTCGTGCACGGTGCTGTTCTCGGTGGGCCACTTGTCCAGCAGGTTGTCTTTGACCAGCCGATGATCAAAGATGCGATTCTCGAGATATGATGTGGCATGATACTTCATGATTTTAATGTTGCGTTTTGCGTTTGTGATTAAAATGTTTTGGTTTTTGCTTTTATTATTGCTTATAACTTTTATTGCACAAAAACTGCACTCACAATGGGTATACTCGATTTCAACATTAACTCTTTAACGGATTCCGTTTTTGCATATATACTGGGGAAGCGCGATAATAGATTTTTATCCTCAACAGCCCAGCAAAGCATTTCAAATGCTATATGTGATGGCGAAATTCGGTGGTAACGTTTAGGATTCACTTGTCAGACTGAGGAAATTACTTTTAATGCATCGAAATTTCGAGCAGTGACATTCTTATTGACAAAACCGTAATTGCATGGAAACCAATTCGATTTACATATGTATATACATACTTGTCTTCATTTGAATATAAATTTAGGTGTTTATATGTACATATGTATATCCTTAGCAACATGTTAAAGTAGTTTGAGCAGAGAACGTAAATGAATTCATTATCATAATATTCATTTACGTTCTCTGGTTTAAGTTAACTTAAGTTAAGTTAGGTTTATTTGATTTCAAATTAAATTTACTTTTTTACTTCCATCTAAGGCTTTTATAAACCCGTTTGTAAATTATGTTTACTCGTCCTGGAAGGAAAAAAATCAACGTAATTATTTCTGGACTTCGGCATTAAAATAACTTATAGCGAATAAGACCGAATATATCAAGCTGCCCTTCGTTGATTTTGTGACCTCAGTAATGGAAAATAAGGAATGGGAAAGTCTGACGAACGACAAAAAAACTTGCGAGAGTTACTAAATAGCTTTTTAGCTGGTACACGTTCGAGATTTCTTCGGTATAAGAGGTGTATGCGGAGAACTTAACTTATATCCACTTGGAAATCAGAAAAAAGGCGTTGTTTTTGAACAGGCATTTTACTTAATCATTTATATATTTTTATTTATTTATAAAGTAAAATGCAAATTTACAGAGTTTAATGTACTTTAATATTCGGCGATTTATTTTAAAAAATTTTGGAGCCCCTTAATTCCATAGACCGATCTTAGAGAGGACGTTCGAAAAAAGGTGCCTAATGAGGACAATTTTTCTGCTTAAAATTACCTCAAATCCAAAAACCAAACAGCTTTATTATTACTATAGATAAATATAGTTAATGAACTAAGGACTTGTCAAAATTTTGTTATTTGACAAAATGGCGACTTCCAAAATATTCGTTTTTATACTTAAGAGTCTCTTAAAAGTCGAAATTATTATCCAAAAGCTTATTCCTTCGATCTTTACCTGACAAATATATCTTAGACGGTAATGTGAAAATTTCAAGTTGACCGGTCCAACCCGTCTCGGCTGGAGAGAAATTTCCTCACCAACTCTGAAAACGTTAAGCCTATACAAGTATCTTATAAAATCGGGTTAACTTAATCTGTACCTACTTGTTTAGTTGTTGTAATAGTATGAAAAAATTCCCTAAATGTCTTTATACGAATGTAAACCCTGCTTCCTTCCAGTTCTGTAAGCACATCTTCTTTGGCAATGAAATCGGTAATTAGGAGATGAATCTTCCTCATCTTTCTCTAAGGAACAATCATATGAGGAGCGAATACAGACAAGAATTAAGCGTTAAGCTTTGGTCAAGCTAAAGAGCGTTAGCTTAAAGTCATTCGTCAGCCCTGCTAGTTCACTTAAGCGTATGAAAAGCTGATGATGGAAGAGTAATTTGCGGTCTCTCTATTTGCGAGTTGCTCTATCTTTAAAGGTTGGGAAAAATTTAATCAGCTAAGCAAAAATTAATAACTACTAACCATCACTAGCTAGCATAGTTTCAGCTGGAAAAACTTTTTTAACTCAAAAAACTAGCAGAAGAGAGCACAAGCTGAGAGGGTAAAAAGCTGAGAGAGCTGCAAGTTTCTACTATAAAATTTCTACTAGCAGAATATAGCTATAGTGAAATTAAAAAAAAAAAAAAATAAACCCCCTTACTCAAAAATAATACTACGACAATGTCTCCAGCTGTTTGTGTCTGCAAATGTCAAATCAGTTGTTCAGCTCGAAAACACAAAAAACTACAAAGTGAATAGATTGGGAAAATTTAGATATTCTTAAAAAATATTTAAAAGTCAATTTTGCCAACTAAATAGAACTACCAAAATGGTGGTGGAAGGCTTAACTAATGGTGACGACAATAAGCCAGTCGAGATATCAGAGTCAACTGCACAAGCGGATGCAGAACAGGATGAGGCCACTGCAGCCGCCAATGAAGCGGAGCAACGTGAACGTGAAGAGCTCAATACTTTCATAGCAGAATTGCAAGCTAAAATAAATTCGAAAGCGCAACTTCGTGTTGAAAATCTTAACTGTGAACATCCAGGAGATTCCTTTTTTGCCAAACTGGATTCCAGTTTGAAGCGAAATACTGCATTTGTGAAGAAACTGAAGCAGTTTACGGCGGCCCAATTGGACACCTTACTTAAGGATATGAGTGGGCTTAATTTAAGTAAATACATTTCCGAAATCTGTACGGCACTTTCCGAAGCTAAAATGAAAATGACAGACGTACCGGCGGCTGTAACACTCTGCTCGCGCTTACACCAAACCTATGCTGACTTTGATGCACAATTTCTTGAAGCGTGGCAAAAGTCTTTAGCTTTAAAGCCTGGTGAAAAGATCTCAAACCCAAGTAAGTTGCGCGTCGACTTACGTTTATTTGCGGAACTAGTGAGCTCCGGAGTTATCAGCGGTAAACAAGGCCTACAACTACTTGGATCTGTGTTAATCAATGTGATTTCGCAAGACAAGGAGGATCACAGTAATTTCTCAATTATATTGTCCTTTTGTCGACACTGTGGTGAGGAGTATGCTGGACTAGTGCCACGAAAAATGCAAAATTTGGTGGAAAAGTATGGTGGAGCTGCCATTCCAAAATCCGATTTTCTGGCGCCTGACAGACAGCAAAATTTACGGGGTTTGCTAAAGGATTACTTTAAGAATTTGTGCAAACATTTGATAACAGAGCAACAAGAATTGCTTAATATGACAAAAACGATACGCCGTACTATGGAATCTAAAGGTGAAAATAGTAGACTGAATTACAATTTGTTTTTGTTTTTTTAGTAAAGAGTTTTACGTACTAATTTAGGTGAAATTTCCAACGACAAAAAGGAAAAATGTGAGCTAATGCAAGCGAATTTCGATAAACTACTCTCTTCGGCACAAACGCTCTCTGACCTACTCGACGAACCGCTGCCAGAGCTGACAACAGAGACGGAAAACTGCAATGCAGGCACTGTAATCGAAAATATGCTCGAGGATGCCACTATGGGTGAACTCGATCCCTGGGGTGATGATGAAACCAAAAGCTTTTACACCGATTTGCCAGATTTGCGGCAATACCTACCGAATTTCAGCGCACCAAAAGTGGATTTGGAACAGAATGAAGAGCCCACAGAGATGACGGAGGAGGCACTCGATGCTGATATTGATGTTGAAATGGAAATAGATGATCCACCTTCCACAGCATCGGACCCACCGAATGATAAAGACGCAGAAGCTGCTGCAGAACCAGCCAACGAAGAGTCGGCCGCAACAGCGCCATTACCCGATAAAATTGCGAATGCGCTAATGGAAGCGGGACGTTTAAGTGCTATACAAGCGCCACATAGCAAACAGCATTTCGATCAGTTTTTGACAAATTTGAATAACTGCGTCAACAAAGAACTCATCGATTCCGCAGCTATTGAGTTTCTGCTGAATTTCAATACAAAAAATAATCGCAAAAAACTTACCAAATCCATTTTCACAGTACAGAGGTAGTGTATTTGCATAAATGTTGTTTATTTTATTTTTAATGGTAAAACCTATTAAACTTTGTAGAACACGTTTGGATCTACTGCCATTCCTATCACGTTTCGTCGCCATTGTCAATCTGTGTAACACAGATGTTGCTGTTGACTTGTCGGAAATGTTGCGAAAGGAGTTCAAATGGCACATACGCAAAAAGAATCAACTCAACATCGAATCGAAAATCAAAATTGTACGCTTCATCGGTGAAATGGTAAAATTCGGACTTTGCAAGAAGTTCGATGCGCTCAGTTGCCTGAAAATGCTGCTGCGTGACTTCCAACATCATCAAATTGAAATGGCGTGCGCTTTCATTGAGGTTGCTGGCATTTACCTATACAATTGTCGCGACTCACGGCTGCTCACCAATGTCTTTCTCGATCAAATGATGCGTCTGAAAACTGCGACCGCTTTGGACTCACGTCACGCCGCGCAAGTGGAAAGTGTTTACTATCTAGTTAAACCACCAGACACGGTGAAGCAAGATGCTGTTGTGCGTCCGGTTATACACGAGTACATACGCCATTTAATATTCGAAGAATTGTGCAAACAGAATGTGGATCGTTGTATAAAAATGATGCGTCGCATCAATTGGGATGATCCGGAAGTGAGCAACTATGCCATAAAATGCATGTCCAAGGCATATTTGTTACGTTTTCCACTCATACGCTGTCTTGCCGATCTCGTATCGGGTTTGAGTTCATATCAAGAGCGTGCTGTGACTATGGTTATCGATAATGTTTTCGAAGATATACGCGCTGGTCTGGAAATACACTCACCGAAATTAGCACAGCGGCGCATAGCAATGGCTAAGTATTTGGGTGAATTGTATAACTATAAATTGGTGGAGTCCACGAATATATTGAACACACTCTATTCGATTATCTCATTGGGCGTGTCAACGGAGGAGGGTGTATACTCAGAATTAGATCCACCAGATAGTTTGTTCCGTTTAAAATTGGCTTGTATGCTGCTGGATACGTGTGGCCAATACTTTACCAGTTCCATGAGTCGTAAAAAGTATTATTTGTGGCACGAGAAATTTTATTTTCCACTACAAACCCTTTTTTTTTTGTAGGCTTGACTATTTCCTTGTCTTCTTCCAACATTACTACTGGTACAAAAAGTCACACCCGGTATTTAGTAGAGTCGAAAATACGGCGGATTTATTTCCCATATTAGTAGATCACATGTACCGCGATTGCGTGGCAAATGTGCGGCCAAAATTAAAGGTATATAGTGTGAAGAATCGGTGGGAAAAGTGTTAAAAAAAATCTTAATGACGTTCTTTAATTGAAAGCTCTACAAAAATCTCGAACAAGCCAAGGAAGCGATTGAGAAACTGAAGGAAGAATTGTATCCACAATTGAAAGCCGGCATGCAGGCGCAAGCTGAGACTGATAATAATCTGGAGCCCATACGTGAGGACAGTGAATTTGATGACGCAGTGAGTTTAATTTTAATTTAAAAAAAAATTATATGTTATAATAACCTAAAATCCTACCACCGTAACAGCTGAGCGATGACTCCTCTTCCGAACGTGAACCACGCACACGGAATCACGATGCTGGTGGCGATGATGATCCCAATACCGAGGATGCTAATAATGCCAATGAATTGGCGAATACCACCGATTGGACTGAAAATGAATATATGCTCGAAGATTGCGAACCACCTGTGGCGGAGAGATCGAAAGAAGATCTTGAATTCGAGCAGATGTTTGAGAAGATGGCCGCCGACAGTTATCAAGAGCGCATCAAAGAGACTGTTAAACCGAATACAAAGGACATACCAGTACCAATGATGGCTAGAACGAGCAAGAAATCGTATGAGCAAATTACTACCGCAAGTGGTAATCAATCGGGTGGCGAGAAAGAAGCAGCTAAAAGTAACGCATCCAACTCTGCTGGCAGCGCTGGTGGTAGCGGTGGTGGTGTAGTGCCATTTGTGCTGATGGTACGCAGTGGCAAAGGTGGCAAACAGCAATTTAAACAATTCGTGGCGCCATCCGATTCGCAGTTAGCCATCAATTTGAAACTGCAGGAGGAGAAGACACGCGAGGAGAAGGAGCGTGTGAAGCGTTTAACGCTAAATATAACTGAACGCATAGAAGAGGAGGATTACCAAGTAAGCCAAAGTCGACAAATTTCTCAAATACTACCACAACTATATTTCTATAAAAATTTTTTATTTATTTTTTCAAAGGAGTCATTAATGCAATCTCAACGTAATATGTCGCAAAATCACTATCAGCGTCCCAGCAAACCGAAATTCCGCCATCAGAAAGGCGCACCAGATGCTGATTTGATCTTCAATTAGACACTGCGACGAAGTTAAGTATAATTAACACCCAAATTGTGGGTTTTACCGTTACGAATTTCGCAGTGTTAAAATGTGAGCCGCAGTCTCAGCCAGCGCGCATCAAAAGAGCTGTGAGTAAAAGTCTACGTTGCTTAGTGCATGTTAAATGAGGTGGTTTTGTATAAGATTTGCGTGCTGTCATGGCGTTTGTTGAGGAGTTTTTAAAGAACTTATTAAAGTAACTACTGAAAAATGATGTAATCTTGGATTCATTTGAAATGTAATAAAATCAAAATACCGAATAAATTTAAATTATAATATTAATTCAAAGGTGCTTTTGACTTTAATTGATTTTATGAAAATTTTGTAAAAGCTATTTAATTGCTTTGGCGAAATATGTGTGGGTTTTTGTGACTTAAAATGGGTCCATCTACCCACGTCAAACATATAAAATATATTCGGAATTCGTAAATTGTTACTGATTCAAAAAACAGTTGGCTATGCTTAGACACGAGTTCTAAAAAAGTTGGAATATTTAAAGTATTTTTTAATTAGAAAAACGTAATCAAAAAGCGCAAGTTTTTTAAATCGCTGCCACTTTGTCAGATTTTCAAATGCTCAAAAAAGTTTATGACTAGTTTAGTTTTAAGTAAAGTAAGTTTAGCATTAAGTAATTTTCGTTTTCTTGTTTGGTTCCAAGGTTCTGAAGCTGAAATCTATTGCAAAAAGTCGATTACTTAGCACCGACAGTGGTGCATTCAATGACTCATCAAGGGAAGAGTTTGAAAAAACTATTGTTTTTTTCTATACACAAGTGTAAAAATTAGTTAGTTAAATTAAAAAAAAAATTGTGCAAATTTCATATGAAGTATGTAGCAATCTATCGTCAAAAAGAGCGCGAAGGTAGACGACCCTCTTTAAATTTATCAATTCGTTGTATCCTAATCATTCTACTTACTGGAAGGAATATAACTCAATGCGAGTCGAGGTAACACACACAATTTTTACAAAAACTTTTCCGTGGACTAACACATTTTTACTATAACAACAACGACTGCATTAGAAAAATAATTGAATTAACATTTAAATATTTATTTTTATTTTGTAATCCCGAAAATCTTATTTAAAAACAATTTTCAAATTTCTAAAACCCGAATTCCGGACTAAAAAAAACCAGAAAAACATTTAAAATCGGTTGCAACGAAGTACTATTACTTTTCATATATAAAAAATCTTCCATAAAAGAACTTGATTTTGATCGGTGCGTTTGTTTGTAGCTATATGCTATGACCCAAACGAAACATATTCCTCGGAGATTGTACCGTTTGTTTGGACAACAATTCATGTGAAAATATCAAATAAAAAAGATATTCATATAAGACCTTGATTCTGATCGTTCAGTTTGTATAACAGCTGCACGTTATAGTCGCTATTGTGGGTTCCAACAAATGGGCAGCTTCTTAGAAAGGAAAAGGATGTGCTCAGAATTTCAAATCAATGTCCCAAAAACTAAAGGACTAGATCGCGTATATGAGGCAGACAGCAAAAATATAGACGGCATGGCTAAGTCAACTCAGCTCGTCACGCTCATCACTTACACTTGTATACATACTTAATATGCATACATATGTTCTTATACCCGTTCTACCATGCCAATTTCGTAATTAATTATTAATTAAAATCACAATTATTATTCCAAATTCGAAATGAAAAATTGAGAATCTAATGTTTAATCGAAAAATAATTTATGCATCTGATATATTCACTAGGTACTCCCCAAATCTGCAAATAATGCATTAAAAAAATAATTTTTTATTTCGTGACCCCAAATACGTGATAAATTTTTTTTTATCCTAAACACCAGTTCCAAATACGATTGAAAAAAAGTTTAATTCCAAGCATATAATTAAAAATTAAAAATCGAAATTGTTTCAGAATTTACATTTTGTCGCGTTTGCGTACTTTGTGTTCTAGCATTTTCAACTAGAGCTCGCGCAGAGCCATCAACTTTAATACTCTAGAGCACTGGTCGACAAACTTTAAATTCTGATTTAAACTAAATTAAAAAAATTAGTTTTTCCAATTAAAATTTCAAAATCCAAATTTTAATTCCTATATCGGATTTAAAAAATGAAAATTTCATTACATTATGGATTAAAAATTGAAAATATAAACATCCAAAATTTTTTAATTAAAAAAATGCAACCCTGATACTCCCCATTAAAAATTACACAACTTCGCTTTTTTAACTTAATATTAGATTTTATTAATATTAAAATTATAAAAAAAAAACACACACTAAACAAAAAAAAACTGACAAACTTACATTTTTCTAATACAATTAAATAGCAAATAGCGTACCAACTACTCTCTATGATTAATGTTTAAGCTTGTTCTCAACTAAATTGCATTAATTGTTAATTTAAATAGCAAAGATCAGTACAAAATTCATAGTAAAAGGTGAATATAAATACGCCATTACAACGGTTTTTTTTAAATACAATATCAAAACAATACAAATAAAACTGTTGCTTTTAGCTTAATGTTAATTAAAAGAGTCATTAAAAAATAAAATCTTGATTAATTGCATGTAAGTAACGGTGCAACGCTCAGAAACTTCGTACAAAATTACCACAATTCGCTAGAATAATGCAAAAATTAGAAAGTACAAAATAGCAGAAATTCTGTTAGAAAATTGTTGAAACACAAAAAAAAAATTAAATACAATTAAAACAAAAAATTACAAAATCTTATGAAAACCCGCTAAAAGTAGTCTTGTGTTTTCAACTTTTTAAGTTATTTTGTAAAAAAAAAATTTTACTTTTTGGACTTTTTGCAATTTTGGTTTATTTTTGTCTTACAAATTATTAAATAACGAAAAATGTACAAACGTACATTACAATAATTGCTTGATGTGTCAATTTGGCGTACTCGGAACAGCTACTTACATATTGCGTTGTTTAATTTAATATACCAACTACATTATATACTTATAAACTATGTTAATATATTTGTTTTAATACAAAAAATAAATTTAAATACGCTGCTTAAAAAAAAAAAGTACTTGACTTCCGAAAAGTACTCAGTTCCCTCATTTGTTCTATATAGTCTGTATTTGTATGCTATTTTGCTGTTGTTTTTGATAATAAATTACTCACTTAAATTTTCATTATAAATATACCATCTGACTTTGAGTAAAAAATTTATGTAGGTTTAGTAGGCACATTTGTAGTAGTATAAATTTGTTTACAAAAAACCTTAAATATTTTTTATTCGTTTTGTGCTTCGTTAACAGTTACAAATTGGATTTTCGCTATATCTCTATAACAATATCTCTTTTCACGCAAATAGGCAATGCTTACATGTGATACTCATATTTTTGTTTTTTTTTTTTAGGTTGGAAAGAGCTACCACAAAAAATTTTACTCCCTTACGACGCTAACATTATATGCATATTTATATATTTGTTTGGCTGTCTGAAGTTTGTGTCTGAACATATGTATGTATGTGAAACTCAAAAGTATAAAATATATTCGTTTGTAAACTAATATGTGTATATATCTAAACTGTATATCATTTTCAAGGCACATGCATTTCTTCTCGCTAAGTTATCGCCATTGCTGCTTAAAATGTGTATATATGTTTGTATATGTATATATTAATGGCAGTATACGGTTGAAAATGATCCTCATTATGCAAACGGTAGCACACAACAACAACAACTAAGTGCATTTCTATACTATCCAAAAATTATTGAAATTTCGACTGTCTACCAAAGCTTAAGCCATATTTTTTTTGTTACTAATAAAAATTTCAGTTCAATACTAGTCTTGTTTGCACAGCGTCATAAGCAGCTGTTGCTCGCACACATAAGGTTACATAAGGTTATACATTTAGTTTTATGTTTTTGTCTTATTTTAAAATATGTTTCACTTTTCACATAGAAATACGCAGCTCCTGATATAAACTTCTTTTACTGTATGGCAATTAGAGAGAAATTCGTAACCCAAACAATGCAACTTTGCCTAAGCAAATTAATTATTTTGTGGTGCAGTTATCGGCTCTGCGCCAGTGGTGCAGCTTACTGACCGGCGTACATTGGGTTCTTGAAAGTAGATGTGGCTTGCTTGTAGATTGGATTCTCGCCCTGTAAAATACAAATAAACCATTATTTTACTTTTGTACTTAGTTTAATTTGATAAAATTAATTAACGATTCGATTCAGAATACTAATATCAATAATACAGAAAATGATTACTTAAGAGGAGCACGAAGGGATTATTAAACCAGGAAAAAGTAGTAACTTCGACTGCACCGAAGCTATAATAGCCTTCACAGGTGCATTTTTATAGCATAAAAGGGTATAAAAAAAGCTTTATCTTAATTTTGATCGTTCAGTTTAAATAGCAGTTATATGCTATAGTAGTCCGATCCGAACAATTTGTTCGCATTTTGTAGCGCTGCCTTGGATAACAATCCATGCAAAATTTCATGAAGCTATCTTTTCAAATAAAAAAGATTGCCATACAAGGACTTGACTTATATCAGTCAGTTTGTATGACAGCTATCTATCATATCTATTATAGGGTCTCCGACCTCTCCTTCGTGGTAAACTTAACTCTCTTAAGAGTATAAAAAATAGTTCAAAATTTGTGTGTGTCACCAAACTCACCGTATCCCACTTGGCGTTCATACGCTCCTTCTCGAAACGTGCAAACTCCCGGCGATCGTGTATGGTCGTCAATAATTTCCACAAAAGCAATATGGCCAAACCGACTAAGACGATGGCAGCTATAACGCCCAAGACAATGCCCAACATGAACACCTTCGGTGGACATTCACGCTCCTGCTGTGCATGCACTTCGATTTTATCGTTCACTTCGCTATATTTGAATGTAAATTTGCAGTCATCCTCGTCATAGAATATGCAAAGCAATTCATCCTTCTCCTCATCAATAACGATTTTTTCCTCGCCAATGGGCACAAAAGTGTTGCTGCAATTGGCGGCACAATCCTTTTCATCCTTCAATGGACCGGTCTTGTACATTTGACATTGTACACAGTCTTTCAGTTCGTGGCAACGACCCGCGCATGTGGGACACTTCTCACAGTATTTACCGGAGTAACGACCTTCTTCCGTAGATTTACATCTGCAAGAATTTTGGTTTCGATAATTTTTGAATAGAAATTTTGTTGAATTTTTTTTGTTCGAGAAAGACTTACTTGCAAACACCACATTCACAATCACCATGTCCCGAACAAAGTTCACCGCCATTTGGTGTCATGCAGGTGTCAGTCGATTCACGGCAATCACATGCCGAACCCGTCCAACCTGGCTTGCAAACACAGTGACTACACTCGCATGTGCCATGATCAGGTCCAGAGCACAGCACATTCTTACGACGTTCACACGAGAAGTTATCACACTCACAGAATTTGCCTGAAATAATTTCCTCGGGACTGGAACGTTTCTCACATTCGCACACACCACACAGGCAAGTGCCACGGTTATTACAATCCACTTGTGTGGTATTGTCCGCACGACAAACTAAATCTTTGTCACTGCCAGTATGCACATCACTCGTTGAACACTCACAATTGTGACCGAAATGCATATCATCACACTCGCAGATGCCACACATTAGTGTACCGTGATTGTTGCACTTGGGTGAGTGCGCTTCATAGCCGGTGGTGCCGGGACGTTCGCATGGACAGGAGCAAAGCATTTCCAAATCGATAACCAGACTCTCATTAATGCCCACAGGATAGATTTGTATGACTTGATTCCATTCACGCGGATCCGTTGGACAGGAGGTGACTAAAATTTGTGCAGTGAAATTAACCACATCGCCAACTTTAAGACCGTCACACTTGGCTGTAGGTATTTCTGCGCCGCCATTTAGACAGGCTGAGTGATAGGTGATTTTTACATTGCTTGTGGCGTTGTCCTTCATTTCAATGGAAGAGGAAATTTTCTGTGCAACAAAAAAAAAGTATTAAATATAAAAGTAATTAAAGATAAATTGTATTTTTTTACTTACGCTATATTCAGAGCGCACCAAATCGACAACGTTCGAGGAATCTTCCGACAGCACCGCGCTTGAAGAACCTTCAATATGCTGCGCTAGCTTTTCATATACCGAATGCTGATTAGCGGTAACTGCGAATATGACGTTAATTGAATTCTGCTTGACCTTGTGATTGATTTGTGAGATGCTCGGGTAATCTTGAATTTTGGAGTGTGTGTAGAGGCCTTCGCTGCCCAAATGACATTCGCCATCGTTGGGTGCAATCACGCCGCCAAGCTGAGCGTAAAGAAAAATATATATATATTTTTTTTTAAACCAAATACAAAAATCGCAGCACTATTCATACCTTGCCATCACCGGCATAATGGAAACCAGCATCCGTTGAGAAGACAAGCAAACGACGCGCTTTTTCGCGCCAACCGATTTGCTGGCGGCAAACAATCGCCTGCATGATAGCATCAAAACCGCCCTCAGGTGCATCCAAATTACCGGACACAGCAGCACGACTCACTTCAGACTAAAGGCGTCAATTAATGGGGGAGAAGAATAGGGTTAGTAAAATTGAGAAGGTTTTATCAGAGAATGTCAGTGATTTTTCATTTCATTCTCTGGTTTTCTAGGTATTATTTTGTGTTAATGGTACACTCTTTAGAGAAAGAATTTAGAAAAATCGTTAAAAAAAAAAAAGTAGTAGGCAAATAAGAAATATGAGGATTAGAATATACACCGCTATTATGTTAGGCAACCGGTGAATAATTGAGGTCTAAATTCCAGGCTACTATATCAGCATTTTGGTATTACCTATGGCCACTGATCTTAGTATACTGGAAATACAGGCAACATCCATTATTATTATTTTTTTTTTTTGAAAAACTTCGTATTAAGTAATTGACAACAATGTTCAAAACTTTGCTGAAATGTTCACTATCGGCTACTTGCGCAAATAATAATAGGGGTGATAATTCTTGATTATTGCTAAAGGAAATTTAAGTTACTTCTAAATTATTGTATTTTGTATAGAAAAAATTCTAAAGCAACTAATAGAAGAGCATTAAACATGTTTTTGAGGACCTATATTTAAAAATTATAATATTTTATTTGATGATTTTGAAATTTAGTTTTATGGATATGAAGAATTTAGCGCCTAAAACTGGCTGACAATTTTATTGTTAACAAAACAATTTCCTTTCATTGAAATATATTTGAGATAATAGGTTATACTACCAAAATTTGCAATATAATCAAAGAATAATTTAAAAAATAATGATTGTGGTATGGACATACATATAGTGAATTGAGCAAAATTGTTTGTATTTGACAACGAACCATTTGTCAATTCAAAAACGCATATCAATTCCATGGTCTAGTAGCTTTATCAACGTTGAGATAAGCAATGCCATGATGTCACAGTAAGCATTTTTCTATTTAAGGGGTTTTATTTGTCAATATCGGCCAAAGTAAACATATAGATAAAAAAATTCGCACAAGGAATTGCACTGTTTGCGCTGAAATCGAAATGAAAAGCGTGAAATTTATTAGTTTTTCTATAGGAATGCGTATGTAAACTGCGAATTCGATTTGTGGAATGTATTTGTAGATTCAAATATATATAAATATAAATTATATACCGATTATTTCAGCTGCACTAAAACTATGATAACTCTCACAAATGCATTTTTGATGGCATAAAAGGGTAAAAAATATCTTCATCTTGATATCGATTGGTTAGTTTGTACTAGATGCTATAGGGGTACGATTTGAACAATATGTTCTTACTGCACTGCTTTGGGCAATAATCTATGCCAAATTTCGTGAAAATATCTCGGCAAATAAAAAAGTTTTCCGTACAAGAACTTTATTTGGATCAGTCAGTTTGTATGACAGCTATAAGCTATAGTGGCCCAATCTATACTATTTGTTCGGATATTGTAGCGCTGCCATGGACCATAGTCATAACAAATTTTACGAAGATATCTTGTCAAAATCCTTCCAGGTTCCTTCTGGGTGTTACAAATTTTGAGGCAAACTTAAAATACCTTGTTCAGGCTTTAAAAAGAACCGAAAGAGCTGATTGGAATTGATTTTCCGCCTTTGTGTAGTACTTATTATAAAAATGTAAGACAACCTTGTCAGTACCAAAACATTAAAACTTTTAAATTTTCAAAAAATTCGAGTTAGTTATTAAATTATTAATTAAGTATGGAAATTACGGAAATCAAGTTTTTTTTATTCATCTATTAGTAAAAAAGCAATGATATTACTCAAGTTTTTTTAACACTTTCAAGAATTTAAAGAATAATTATTTTAAAAAATTGTAAATTTCTTTATCAAATCAATGCCTGATAGATAATCACTTTTGTTTACAAAGAGTGTACCATTTTAAATCAATAAGTGTATAAAAATGTAAATATAACGGGAAAGCTTTTAGTTTAGCGAGGAGAAACTATAGTTACGCATGCCACCATCTACCAGCCATGCAGTTTACATGCAAATGTTAGCGCAAACACCCACGCCAAATAAATTAGTATGCCGCCACAATTTTAGAAAACAGTTCTAGCATGCAAATTAAGTACTTTTATGCTGACTGACAGAGTTCATGAGCTTATAATGTTGAAAAATAAAAAAGTATGAAACAAATAAATTTTCACTTAAAGGGTGTATCAATAAGGGTGTTACAACTTTAATACTTTTTTTACTGAATGGCATAACATAATTTAATAATAAAAAAATTTTATCTCAAGTTTAAAATAAGAAATAAAAAAAAAATGTTTTTGTATTTACATCTCTTCGCGCTTGCGAACTGCATTTTCGCACAGAGCCATCCTCTTCAAGACGCTAGCGCTGATTTTGGGAAATTTTAATTAACAATTGAAAATCTAAATTGAATATCTAATTTCTAAGCCAAAATTTTTTAATTAAAAAATTCGCCACTCTCTTATTGACGCACTCTATATTTATGTGTATGTCCGTAGTTAGCATACAATATTTTTTATATGGTATTCCATTGAATTTCGAATTAAGTATTGTAATGCATAATTGAATCTCCATCAGTCAGTTTAACTTCTAAACTTACAACAACAACTTACAGAAAATCGATATGTATCCGTGTTTAAAGCCATAACATTACGATAGCCATATGGTGCAGTACAATTCGTACAAGGATGTTCCAAGCTATATATGTATGTATGTATGCATATGTATATATATTTTAATATATTTATATACGTAATTTAGATCACATATCGTTAGCGGTATTTATTTACGTATGTATGTATGCACGAGCATATTGAAAATAGTTGAGATACATAATTTTACGAAACATTCAAATGTGAGCGAAATAGAGAGAGAGAGAGATACAAAAGAGATAATTACACAGACTTTTTTCTGGTTAATGCCAATAATAATTTGTAATATAATTTAGTTTGCTATATTTAACTTAAGTACTCCAATATGTAGTTGTAAAATTTTATACAAACTTATGCTAAATAATTTAGAATAAATAATACTAAAGAAAGGGACTAAAGAAATGGAAAGTGCGGATATATATGTATAAAACAATTAAAATGACAAAAACTATATATGTATATATAAATATGTGCAATAGTACACACTGAGTGTCAAAGTGATGCATATTTTTGCTTTAAATAATATTTTTTGAATATTTAAGCACGTGCACGAGCTGATAATATATAATATAAAAAGCAAAAATTGCTTAACAATCATTTTAAAAAGTTTGTAATATGCAATGACATTTCGGCACTCAGTTACAGATATATGTACATATATACATATACATAATTCAGATGTATTTAGGTGACCAACTGTTGCCCCAACAGATCGTGCACAAAACAAACACTTATTTATGTAAATATGTATGTATGTATTAAAATATATATTTATAAATGGTAATTGCGAACAAATTGCCATAAACCATAAACTTCTCATGCACAGCAAATCAGCTGAAAAATCAAAAGCACAAAGTAGAAAGAAAACCAAACCAGTGCAATATATATATATATAGAGCAAGGCAGTGTGTATCAAACAGAATGCATAAACACAAATATATAGTAGAAATACTAAAAATATAAGTACCATGACAGCATAAATTGGTTAGGCATATCCAAAAAAAAATAAAATACCAGAAAGTAGACATACATACATGTTAATATTGCTGATGAACTGCGGTCAACAGCAAACACAAAAAATTAAAATAATGTGAAAAAATTAAATTAATAGTAGAAAAAACAACAAAAAAAATACATTCATACAAAAATAAACGAGTTTACATACAGACACGAGATATAAAAAAAGAGATATACAAGCAGATGTGCAATAAGCAAGCAGAGGAAAGCAAATAAATCTTAAAGAATTAGGCAAATTGACGAAATCTTTCCAAAGCATTTCTTCTTACAGTGAACGTTGAGGTATTTGTACTCAGAGGCATGTGGTTGCGGTAACCGTACGGTGCCTCACAGCCTTCGCAGGGCCTTTCAAGTCTGTTGTTTGTGGTTTTCATTTTTGATTAGAGTTGTTGTAGTTGTAGCAAAATGTGGTTGGTAGTTGGTAATTTGCGTTGTTATTGTGATTTTGGTGGGAAGTAGTTGACATTTTTTTTTATTGTAGTTTGTTGTTGTTATAGCGCATTAATAACGATTGGGTTTGTTGTAGTAATAGCAGCAAAAATGTATGTGTTTTTGCATTGGATGCAAAATTATTGGTTAGTTGTTGTTTTTATTGTTTCATTTTATTTTTTTTTATTTTAGTGTATTTTTATGTTTATTAATTTTTGTTTAATAGTTTCCGTATTTCATGTATTTTTTGGTGGTTGTACAGAAAACGAATGAAAATTTTCAAATGCGAAACCAATTTGCAATGAACAGCAAATAAAATTTCAACGGCAAATAACAGTAACAAAAGGGAAAAAGAAAATCATTGTAGAAAATATTGAAAAAATATACATTAATATTGTTATTATTATTATATTATACTATGTAAGTGTATTAATGGGAGTAGAACTTGTATAAATTGTAAGCAAAATTATCTCTTAGGTGTAATTTATTAAAAAAAATAAAAAATTTTAAGTGTAAAAATAAAATTTCTAATAAAATACTAATAAAATATTATTTAATAGTAAATCTAATTAGTGTCTACAGTAATTCTAATAAAAAAAAATTTAAGAAATTACAGCAACATTTCATAACATATGATCAAATTTTACTCGGACTGATTCATTCAACTGCGCACGCAAACCGAAACAATCAATAATTTTTCCTAGATTGGTACGAGTACAACCTTTTTTTATGTTCATGTGAAGTTTGATCTCCATATGTCAATTAGATTTTTATAACAGCAGAAAATAAGTATTTTAAGAACTCTACTTTATTACTAAAACAAGTATTTAAGCGGCAGTTAATGTCGTGAAGTCATCGAAAACATGCCTCATGCAAGTCATCCATTCACATCTGTTAATGACGATATCATCGAAAAAGTTACAGAATCAGTGCTTGAAAATCGTTCTTTGGATTTCAGAGAGACAGCAGAGGATCTCAACATCTCTTATGGATAAACACAACACATTTTGGTTAATGTTTTGGGTAGGAAGCGTGTCAATGCTAGACTCGTACCAAAAGACCTGAATCTTTTGCAAAAATTATGTCGAATAGATGTTGCGAAAGAGATGCTTGACAACGTATGAAAATGACCTCGGAAACTATTCAACAATCTAGCCTCTCTTAAAATACATGAAAATGAAGATTTTTTTTTTGTCAGTGCTGGTCAAAGTTGATCAGATCATATTTACATATATTAAAGGAGCGGTGTAAAATTTTTTTGATCTTTTCGCTTACAAAGTTGTTGAAACTTTCGTATTTTCAACTTTAATCTTTATCAAAGCCTAATGTTGGTAAAATTTCATATTTTTTTCTCAAAAATTAAACAAAAATGCGATGCCTAATTTTTAAATCATTAATAATAAATTAAAATATATAATTTAGAACCAAATATTTTAATAATATTTATTATTTTTAATAATAATATATTATATACAACTATATTCATGAATACCTATAAAAAAAATACCTGAATTTTAAATGAAACCAGTTTACTCACTTTTTGGGTATAGTTGAAACGTAGGGCATTAGTACCTTGTCCACAAACGAACCAAAGCCCAAACGGAAATTCGAAGTAATATTACGCATAGTTTCTGATAGCTTATCGCCTAAAGCCGACAGTTTATCCTTATCATCCTCCATAGATTTGGACAAGTCCATCAAATAGTATAAGTCGACGGGATAATCAATAGCTTGCGAGTAGCGCATATTTAACGAGTGCAATTGATCTGCAAGAATGATTACGTCATGATCTGCCATTTCTAACACAAAAATATGTGTTTAAACAAAACTTACTTATGCGCAACTTGAGGCTAACACGTTGTGGGCTGATTTGCACAATTTCCCCACTAGAAGCTGAAGCACCAGCGGAGGCTGCACTACCATAAGCGCCGGAGTAGGACGAACTGGACGATGAGCTACCACTATATGATGAACTCGCTTCGTATGAGCCACCATAACCGTAACCGTAACCAGCGGCGACGCTGCTATTACCACCACGTGTCAATTCACGATTGATAGTAAATTTTTGCTCTGTAAATGGGTTCCAGGTGAACTCTTCTTTGCAATAATTTTGTATGCTATTTTTAAAACAACGTGGCAAATCTCCAAAATCCGGTTGCATGCACCAAGCGCAATTTTGTGTTTGTATGCATTCATGACAGGATGCCTTGTTCACACATGGATCTTGTATGAGTTTACCAGCGAGTTGCGCTTCAACGCTTAAAATGCTACTGCAGGCAAATAATGTGGCAAATAGTAGAGCCATCAGCCGTTTGGCGGCAGACAGACGGCAGCAGTGTATTAACATGTTTGCCTGTAATTGTCAGGAAGCTGCCAAAACAAAATAATTGATTAGATAATTCGTTACGAACGCAGTAATCTAAAACTTTTGAATTAAAGGAAGAAACACTGAAACGATATTTGATGTGAGGTAATCACTTCCGGTAGGATATCGTTCTTTAATATTTTAATATCGAGTTTTTTAACATAACAGATTCCTTGCTTGATATGCACATTATCATGCAGATAGTCAATCTTAATCACACTTCATATTTTTATGTCACTGTATTTTTTATAATAATTTAATATAGAATGATTCAATCGTTGAAAATATGAAAATGGTGTCACTCTTTCAACTTTTTAAAATAATTAGATCTAACTGCTATCGTAAAAATAAGCTGACGCATAAGTCATACACGGAATAATAAATAGGCCTTAAGAGAGTCATATTTACAGATTTATTTAAAAAATAACAATAATAATAATTGGGTAAATTTGAAACCCAGATGTTTTATTTAGCCACAATAATAGGGAACCCGAGGCTATGTAGTTTTATTACATAAAATCTATAATTTTATTTATTATTTGTTAGAACATTGTAATTAAATAATATGCATATATATGTAGATATACATACATACAAGTATGTCAAAACACATATATATAAGAAACTTAAAAAAAATTGGCAATTAAAACATTTTTATTTACTTTTACTCTTTTTTTCTTTATACGCTAGCGCTGCTGACGTTATTCGATGCTGCTTTTGTTGATTTTGGTAGAAACACTCAGCACGATTTCATATGAATCAAATTGTGAGCCAAAATGACTCATCTGTCAAGAGCACTGCTACATACATACATATATGAGCTAAACGAAAGGTAGGTAGTCTCCAAGAAAATGAAATCACACAGTAAACAAGAAAAAAAAACAATATCTTTGAGAAATTTAACATACATATGAACATATTTATGTATATACTTAAAAAGAAGGCTGATAAATAAATGCGCACACAAGGTACGAAATATATACGAAATGCACACGCACATATGTATATATGTATATAAAATTTTACAATAAACAATTACGACAGGCCGGGCACGATAACGTTGTCTTAAAGTGTGACGAATAGCACAACGCTTGTATAGACAGGCATTGGAATCGTGCGTTTGCAACATAAATGGATTTTCAATTAATACAATGGATACTGGAATAAAGAGGAAGTGTAATTTTATCTAAATAAGGGCAGGTCAACAAAGTGCTAATAGCTACACGCAAAAGGATATGTACATAAAGCGGCGCCTATTGACGCCAATTCAATGACTGACATTAAATTTAAGAAGTCGTGTTGAATTGGGAGTAAGACAGGTATCCGTTGTTTTAATAATGTTTGGGTATACTAGTTCTACGCGAAAATACAATCTTCCAGAAAAACATTAGCAAATGCTTGTCAAAACAAACACGTTAGGGATGTAGGTAAATATAAATACAATGTGTATTTTAAGGAAAACGAGAAATTATTTTAGCTATTCACGTCTAAATTAAAGTCTATGGAATTATGTACATAATTATTGTGTACATAAATTATATATAATACAATATTCAAGAGTGTTGAGGAGTGCCGCTTATGTTTCATTATCGAAAATTATTTTGAAAATGTTTGAAAACACTACAACAACAAATATATTTACGGAAATATTCTCTATTGACAATGGATCAATGTTTTAAACAGTCCAAGCAATACCTGTTAGGACTTCTAAATCTAATATTCTCTATTTCGGCATTACTCCAAATTATACCGAAGATATTCTAGACTACAAGCACAACAAGTTTAATTCATTTTGAAATTTAAAAAATTCTAACATTAGTGAAAATGTTACCGTTAACAAAATATTAAAGTACATTCCATGAATATCGCATATACTTGAACATAGAACAAAATCATTGAGAACATGTGTGTCTCCTTTCAAAAAATTAAACCGATGATATTGGCGCTAGTGGGTTGTATTGGCTATATTTAGCCCACGCACAAACCACAAGAGCAACACCAACACTCAATGAGAAAATAACAAAAACAACAAACAAGTAGCATTGAAGGTACAACACCAAGAAACTGTGATTAGGGTAAAGCAAGAACAACAACAAAAAAGCAATGAATCTTAAATCGACGACAAAATAATATTCATTCACGGCGAGTACGGGTTTTTTGGTTTTAATAGACGAAACTCAAAAATCTAGCATATACAGATACATATATGTATATGTGTAAGTTTATTGTGGGCGTTTGTTAACCAGTTCTAAAGGAGCCTTATATCATGTAAATGTAAAGGAGTTAGCAATGGGGAGTGGCACTGTTTTCTTATGCATTTATATCTCCCTTATGTATACAAATGCATGTATTTTTAAATGCCGTTCTTTTCTAACGATCCGATGACTAATAATTAGTAATTCTGTGGCACAAATATTTAGGTTTACTTATCAAATCAAGTTTTATTGATGATGCCATATTGGAGTTACTGGAGTTTCTCCGCTATTTGTGTCAACATTCGTTCTTTGTTTTCTCATTTTATATTTATTTTACTACCACTACCATTTTCCATCGAATCTTTTATGGCTTTCAACACAACTTGACTTGCGAAATGAATGAAATCACCATTTCTTTTTTAATTGTGTATATATATGACCGTACACTGCAATCCTTACATAATTAGTAGCACTATTGTATCATTTATCACTTACACTTCTAACTAATATGAAATATTTGTTAATTTTTACACGATTCTTCTATATTTAATTAGATTTTATTTCCATCAGGGGCAGATATATATCAAATATTTTACACACAAACACCACTTTCAATAAAATCAACCACACTCGTCGAAATTTTCGAATAATCTGATCAGCGATGGCAATTTGTTGCTTCGAAAAAATATTTTCACGCAGGGCTGCACTCAGTGTGTCATCGTTTTACTTTACTTTCCAACTGGGATAGACTAGCAAATTTAAAGCTGTCAGTAAATGTCGGTAAATTGTGAAAATATGTATAATATAGCTTTATTTTCAATTAAAAATTAACAAAAAACTAAAGGTAAACTTAAATAACTCGTTACACACAAATTGTGAATTCGCCGATTGCTTAATTCTCGTAACACAAATGATGCCGAATATCATCACATCTGGGTGTATTTCATTTTCAATCACACTCACTTGTGTGTTATATCACTGTTATCTTAAAAACAAATTCCAGAACTTTTGAGATCATGAAATTCAAGATTAAAATGTGTTGGTGTTTATATCTGTTACGCTGCATTGGTTCTTTCTTACTCGTATTAAAATACTGAACAGAATTATATTGACGAACTTAATATAAAATATTGAATTACACATTCTTGCGAACGCATTAGAGCATTTGTAATAAACAGTGTTTTCGAGTACTGAAGAAAAATGAAAACACTTTTTTTTTTCTCACATTTATATTAAAACGTTTTACATGTTTATTCTTTCATAAATGAATAAACCTAATGTTTCTTGTTCAAAATATTTATGGTGCTATATAATAAAATTTCGTTTCAGTAAAACATAACAAACAATAAATTTAGTATCTTATCGGCAGGGTTGATTTATTCGTATGCAGAAATAAAATATCGTAACAGCACAACAGCCCTATTTCTTTCGTCCAAGAAATTTTTTGAAGTGTTTTTTGGGCAGCCGAGTTCGCGAGTACAAGAACGATTCGTAGTGAAATGCAAAAGAAACATTAAAATAAATCGAATAGTATTTAACTAATTAACCAGTACCTAACAATAAATTCTAAATATTACTTTAGTTATAAATAATAACAAGTGTATGTACATTGATTATCTAAACCGCCAACCGGTCGAAAAGTTGTGTGTGAAAAAATTTCTTTGCTTTTCGCTCTCTCCATGCATTCGCGCATTCGTATCCAGTCCGCGCGGACCTTTCAACCGACAGTATTTTCCCCTCCTTTTTCGCTGCTCTGCACAATTCCAACGTCGATGAAGGTAATGGCAGCAAAAGCAAAGTCAGCAAACGCGCTGCTTCCAGTGTCAAAGTGAATCGAGTGTCGTCGACGTCGTTGTTGCTGGCGTTAAGTGAATGTGAAAGAAGAATGGAAAAGTGCACATACAAATATTGAATTGAAGCGAATGATAGCAGAAGTGGAATAATTGCTAGCTGTGCAAAAAAGTTTTCATATATAAATTTTTTCTACAGTTCTGTATATTTTTTTTGCTGTTGTAATAATTATATTGAATGAAAAGTTCAAATTATATAAAAAGTGCTTGTGTAGTTAGATGCAAAAAAAAAATATTTAACGTTTATTGACGTTGTTATAAGAAACAGATCAAAAGTTTGGTGAAAGAGGAAGCAAGTGAAAAGTGCAAATGTGAATGTGTGCCGCAAGTGAGGCGAAAAAATGTACAAACGTCCCCCAATTGTCAGTGGCTAGGTCGTCGTCGTCGGCCGTTTCGACATCATCATATTCCTCCACTTTTCGACGTCATCGCGTGACATTTATCAACATTTGGGTTCGTCATTGGCGCCTTCTTATAATAAAACGCTTAGTTTAACGCGGTTGCAAACTTCTTTCGCTGTGTTGCAAGACGTAGAATTGAAGTGTCAAAACTTTGCTGTGTATTTGTCTTGTGGAAATTGTTGGCTAATTAACTACATACATATATTCACACAGGATTGCAGATACAACGAAGACCGACAAATCCGAAAAATAGTATTGAATCAACGGAATTAACTATATAATTTGTAAATAGAATCAATTGTAAAGGTATGTAAAGCATTTAACATAAATACTTATACATATACATATATGTATAAGATCTACATGTATAATTTTTGTTATATTAAAGAGGTTGTTGTTAAGGGTAACTAAGCAAGTAAGGAATCAATCCTGATATTTACAAAAAACAGTTTCGTGTAAAGTCTCTTCATTTTTATAATTTGGTGCTGTTACTTTAAACTCGCTTGTTTATTATAGATTATCTAATACTAACTGATACTAAGCTGCTTGTTGCATACATATTTACATACACAGACAATTTTCTTGTAATAGCAATTTTACGTTCATTGATAGTTGCTTGTAATAAAATCGGTAATAAAGAAGATAGAAAAACAGCAATAAACTGTAAATTGTGTACGCTGATGGACTTTGGAATAGATGCCCCACGATACATTTATATACATATGTATGTATGTGAGGCTGTTCGAATGCGCCAGCTCAGTGCAACTCAATTCGATCTTTGTTGATTACCTTTCTTTGTTTTATAATTTTTTGTAGTATATTGTCTGTGCTAATAAATCATTCATTCCGTACATTTGCATACATGTCTACACACATACATTGTACATATGTATGGTTTCTGTCCATCTTCACATCATCCATACATCGGCTTTACATGCGACAGTTGATTAGTTTGTCTGTTGAAAATCATGCGGGACATTGTACCGTGCAGCTGTGCGAACCATAGCCGCCGATTTGCTACATAAGCATATACTGACTGCAACTAAGACCAATCCAAGGTTTTATAAAATTTATTTTTGTCATGTACTGCTCCTCGACTTTTACTAATTCAATCAAAATATGGTAATAACAGATAATATTGCAAACTTTTGTGTTGTATATTTATTTTTATTTTTATATCTAATAAATACATTGTGTGCAATTTCCAATTCGTTCTCGTCAAGTTGTAGTCATTAGTTAATTAAAATTTTTTTTTTTTATCGTTTGTTTTCTCTCTTCTTTTCGTTTTTACTTTAAAGCAGTGACATAATTCACAAAATTGCAGCAATAATTTTAATTTTATAATAATGTAATGTACCTACCCATTTATTCACTATAACTGTAGGAAATTCCTTATAGATATAATTGCAGTAATGCATATACAATAGTTGTTTTTAAAAAGACTTCTGGCAGTTTTCAAAATTAGCTACAGCGATTGCCAACTATGGATTTTCTCATGATATTTATGTTTCTAATATAATTTTTGAGGCACGATTTTGTAATTTGTGATTCAGCTTCTTTTTAATTCATGTAAATTTGTAGGTGTGTACAACTTATAATAAGAGCTTATCAATACCGTTACCCTTGTAATTTGAAATTATAAATTGTTTTGTGTCCAAAGGCTCTTAACAGCTCTATAATTTGAATAAAAAGCTTGGAAGCTTGGCTGGATGTAGTAATTGCCGTTATGTTAGTATTGCATCATAAGTAATATACAATTGTGAATGTACAAATGTTTGTATACACATAAATAATTAAATAATTAATGGCCTTGACATCATGACCCGAGTATGACCAAATATCAACAGTAGTGACTAAACGCTATTAATTTTTTCAGTTTTCTAAATTTTAACACTTTTTAGTTTTTTGAAAAACTGAACAGAAATTTATATACAAAATTAGAAGAAAATACTCAAATAAATATTGTTGCATTCAAGCTTTGTCGTTTTGCTGCCAAAAGTACGCAATATGTCGCGGAGGTAAAGGTAGTCAATAATTTCAAAAGCGTTTGAGCGTCAGTCCAACCACCCGCTGCCTAAAAGGTTCGTACACTGCTATGTCGATCGATATTTTACTGCCTACAAGCGTTTTTGCTACGTACATACACACATACATTTGTGGGAAATACGAAAACAGAAAAAAGTAATGCTGTTAAGTGCCTATAGGTATGTATGTGCAAGTGTAGCTGCGCTGCCAGTCTCAATGTCTGTGCCACTTTGACGCCACTTCCTGTGTAACCTTCAGCCATTCTGACACTTGCTCAGCTTTGTCGCCATCATTATTATCATTGTCAAAGCTCTAGCGCGCAACTACTATGCTGTCGCTTACAATGTAAAACAACAAAATGTCACAGTCAAAACAGCCAGCGCCCAACACTCACCACCTACCCTTCCATGTTTTACTATAAATTTGCTACTCGACGTTGACAGTTATGTAGTGTGTTGCAGTTGTATTAGTAGTGATGGCGTCGACTATGGCTACGCTGCCCGTTAATGTTGTCCTCCAACGCACAATACGGTTTCACCCTCGCCTTACAACAACGTGACTATATGCTGACCGCTCCCTAACCCCACTTACCGCCAAACAAACACTCGCTCATTTAAAACGCAAAATGTTATTAGCTCGCTTACGCTTGTACTTGCCATACTTAAAAATCCTGTTGCCCGCCATTCACTGGCACAATAGTGTCAAAATCAACAACAACAACCACAATAGCACTCACTATAAACATAGTCGGTCGGTTGAAGAAGCGCAAGAAGGGCAGTCAGCATGTGCTTATGCAATGTAAATGTCTTTACTGGATTCATCAGCTATTGGACATGGTTGAAACTGGTTGGCTGATTGGCCTCAATGTGGCTTACTAGGCTGGGAAGAAAAAATCTCGTCCGGCTTTTGCCTTTCAAGGAAGCGTGCAAAACTGAGACTGACAACCAACAGCGGCAGTGAAAGAATGATTTCTGTTACAGCAAAGTGTAATGCAAAGAAAAATAACAATAAAAAACAGAACAAGAATAAAAACTACAAGACGTTGGCAACTGACTAACTGCCGGCCATAAGAAGCGTCTGAACTGTGTTGCTTTTGGTATCGCTTGTAAAAGCTGTTTTGTTCTTATACCCTATATACGCGCACTAGTCCCCAAAGTTTTGAGATATCGATCGGCACCACATTTTTCGGAACCACCGATATCGGATCACTATAGCTGCCATACAAACTGAACGATCGGAATCAAGTGTATGGAAAACTTTTTTTATTTGCCGAGATATCTTCACGAAATGTGGCATGGATTATTGTCTAAGACAACAGTACAATCTCTGCATAAATTGTTCAGATCGGACCACTATAGCCGCCATACAAACTGACCGCTCAAAATCAAATTATTGTATCGAAATTTTATTTGTGAAGGCTATTATAGCTTCAGTGCAACCGAAGTTAACGTTTTTTTTGTTGTTTTTTTGTTTGCACATACATACAGCTTCTTCCTCTTTTTACTCGACGCTTCTCGTCTTTTTACAATTTTCTCGCCGATTGTCATTCGAACAAAAATAAACCGCAAACAGCAATGCGGACATTAAAATTTTAATTGTTAATTGTAAAACGCTGTACGCACACACACACACAGACATACAGTTATTTAGTTAGTCAATCACACTGGCGGTCTAGTCATCCAGCTAGCAAGCTGAATGGAGCGGCAGACTCGTGAAACTGTTTTTTAGTTTGTCGGCTTTGCTGTCGAGAATGGATTTTTCGCTATTCAACTTGTCTTATTATTGTTTCTTTCTACTCATTTATTGTTGTTTATTTGTTCATATTGCAACTTTCATTGCGTTTTATTTACGTATTTTATTTAGCAAGTATTACTCAGGCGCTGCCATGCCATGGTTGGAGGTGTTGTTTGTCGACCATTTGCGAAAAATTCTAGCTAAAGCACCTATACATACCATACATATGTATGTTTGTATGTACGTATGTATGCATGTATGTATATGTGCGCAAATACCGCTTAATCAACACAAAAATAAAAAAATAAATGTAAATAACAAATAACAAATAAATGTGATATCCCACGGGGTTTGATAAGACGACCACGGCAATGGCAATGGCGCAGCAGTAAATTTCATTTCAATGCTTTCAACCTCATTTAATTTCTGTCGTTTCATATTTGCGTTGGTTAAAAATTCTATACATATTATTCGACGTTTCGAAAGCAATTCTTATTTCTCTGCTGATTAACATGATCATTGAGGTATAATGTCGTTGTCCAGTCTAAGAAAGCTGGAGGTAACGATATAATTAACTGTCAAATTTTCATAGTAAATGTAAACAGATACTACTCCACCTTTCGTTCATGACGTCATAAATCAATGTATTTTTCTGTCAAATAGACTGTAAGGAAGTAGCGGCACGTAAGCGATTTCTGTAATTTTTTGTATTGTAAATTTTACCGAAAAAATTTGTAGTTATTGTACCATTGTATCATTCCCGTCCTCCTAAAATTCTAAGCCCCCGAGTTTTTTCTCACAGTGAACAGAATATATCAAAGCTATGACTACAATATACATACTTATGTACTTTTATTAATTCCTCGGATTTTGTATCACGCCATGTAGCCTAACACTAAACCACTTTGAAGTGTACATTTTTTTTCACAAAAAACGCTTTTTTTTGGGAAACCGCCATTTTGTCGAAAATTAAAGTTTTGACTAGTCCCTTGACCACTTCCTATATTCATCTATTGTAATAATATTTATTTTTGTTTTTGTTTTTGAGATAATTTAAAGCAGAAAATTCTTCACAACGCTAGACGCTTTTTTCGGAGATCCTGGAGGTCGGCTACGGGATCAAGGAAATACAAAACTTTGTTGTTCTATAGTTATGGCATGTTTAATACTTATTTATTTTGCACATAGTTTTCTGGCAAGCTTTTTGAAATTTTGACTTATTGATCAATAGAAGAAAAGGCGGAAAATCCAATTGTTATTAAGTAACTAATACAAGTAATTTAGTTTTTTTTGTTGACATTTTATTTATTGCTTGGATGACCAAAGCTTTCGCTGTGTAGTAAATTAAAGTTTCAATCTGTGCTTGCAAAGCTTTCACCAAATAAATATAGAGCTTTCACCTAATTAGTATAGAGTCTTTATAACATTAGTACACAGCTTTGGTAACATTAGTAGAAAGCTTTCATAACATTTATATAAAGCTTTCATCACAGTAGTACAAAGCTCTCATCACAGTTATACAAGTACTTACTTCTCAGCAGTTATAA